TCATTCCACTGGCAGAACAAGAGGGGGGCCCTTGACTGGGTGGTCTGCCGCCACCAGGGGCCACCAGCTCGGAGCCCCCAGGCCCCGAGGCACCCACAGCTCATCCCAAGGGCTCCTCTCATTGTTCACTTAAGGGGAAAGGTGCAATAATCCACTCTGCTCCTTCTCTGGGACCCACAGTACGGAGACTCACTCTCCATATCCAAGCGGAACACACAGTACCTCACGATGAACCCTGCTGTTCCTCTGGACTGATTCAAAAGACCTAACAACAGGATTTGCCAACATCCTTTGGAAGTTACTCCCTGGGTACCTGAAGTAAAGCATGAGGAATTGATCAAATCCTTGTCTGCTATCTGCAACCACAGCTCCCGGACTATCACATCTGACTCTCAGAACCACATCAGCGGAAACTTACAAAAATTTGCTGTTCAGCCCAATGTTACCAGACTACCTCCTCTGCCCGTGGCCCCGCCTGGCCTGGAGGAGGGAGGCAGAGGGTGTCCCAGGCAGTCCTGGCAGGACTGAGGCTGCCCCACAGCAGCCACGCAGGATGTGGGACATGCGGATAAGTCACTAAACCCGTGAGGCTGGTTCACTTACAGACACGCTGCACTCGCCCTGGGCATTTACGGCCTAGGAGCTAAAGAAGTTTGCATGAGGCTTGCCTTATGGTCTCTAGGAGCCAAACATGACATTGAAATGATCCATTCCACTAATATCTTAACATTTTGTCAATCTGGAACGCATTTTAATCAAAAGCCCCCTCGAAACAATCTCCTTTGTTGTATTTTCTTGTTGGCTCATTCCATCAACATCTGCTCTGTTTAGACAATAAGAGTTAGAGCTGCGGATGCTGTCGGTACTCAACTGCTCTTGGGGGTGGGGGAGCCCACCCCAGCCTGGCAGTGTTTATGTAAATCAGTGTGGCTGACACAGCCTTCATAAACACACAGGGGAATGTAACAAACACGCGGTTCGCGCAGGAAATGCTTGCCTGAGAGCTGGCTTTGGTCTCAGCAGACTGATGAGGAGCCGCTGACACGGCAGATCTGGGTTCCCCGCGCCCAGGGCTCCACCCACAGCCATGCGGAACCAGAGGGGCCTGGCCCACCAAGGGGCCCTGGGGTTCTCCGGGTGGGATGTGGCCCTGTGTGCCAGGCCCTGGGCCCCTCTCTGGCTCTGGGACCCCACCAGCTCCCACCACCTTGGCTGGAGAGGTTGTGGGAAGGCCCTTCTGACCTAACTCTTCATGTTTATTCAGGAAATGGGGTGGAAGGAACCATCACAGGCACATGCAGACACATGGAAAGCAGGCTGTTCATATAAGCAGACGGGGCACCAGGAGGGGCCTGCTTCACCAGCTCAGGCAGCCGAGAGAGCAGGAGGCTGGGGACACTGTGCTGTGCTGTGCGCTGTTGTGATGTGAACACATGCTATGCTCACTGTGTGTGCAGTGCTCTGCTGTCCTGACCGGCAGTGTACACTAGACTGCACTGTGCTGCGCTGTGCAGTGTCTGGACTCTGCACTGGACTCTGCACACTGCACTCCCTACTGTAACACCACACAACTGCAGGGCACGGCACTGTGCAGGGTGGGACACTACAGTGAGGCATAGCAGGACAGTGCAGGCTAGCACAGTGCAGTGTGTGCAGTGTGGTCTAATACCAGTGTTCTGTGTGTGCAGTGCCCTGCTGTCCTGACCGGCAGTGTACACTAGACTGCACTGTGCTGCGCTGTGCAGTGTCTGGACTCTGCACTGGACTCTGCACACTGCACTCCCTACTGTAACACCACACAACTGCAGGGCACGGCACTGTGCAGGGTGGGACACTACAGTGAGGCATAGCAGGACAGTGCAGGCTAGCACAGTGCAGTGTGTGCAGTGTGGTCTAATACCAGTGTTCTGTGTGTGCAGTGCCCTGCTGTCCTGACCGGCAGTGTACACTAGACTGCACTGTGCTGCGCTGTGCAGTGTCTGGACTCTGCACTGGACTCTGCACACTGCACTCCCTACTATAACACCACACAGCTGCAGGGCACAGCACTGTGCAGGGTGGGACACTACAGTGAGGCATAGCAGGACAGTGCAGGCTAGCACAGTGCAGTGTGTGCAGTGTGGTCTAATACCAGTATGCTGTGTGCAGTGTGGTCTAGCACCAGTGTGGTGTATGCAGTGTGGTCTAGCACCAGTGTGGTGTGTGCAGGGTGGTCTAGCACCAGTGCAGTGTGTGCACTGTGGTCTAGCACCAGTGTGGTGTGTGCAGTGTAGTGTGGTCTAGCACCAGTGTGCTGTGTGCAGGGTGGTCTAGCACCAGTGCAGTGTGTGCAGGGTGGTCTAGCACCAGTGCAGTGTGTGCAGGGTGGTCTAGCACCAGTGCGGTGTGTGCAGTGTAGTGTGGTCTAGCACCAGTGCAGTGTGTGCAGGGTGGTCTAGCACCAGTGCAGTGTGTGCAGGGTGGTCTAGCACCAGTGCAGTGTGTGCAGGGTGGTCTAGCACCAGTGCGGTGTGTGCAGGGTGGTCTAGCACTAGTGCGGTGTGTGCAGGGTGGTCTAGCACCAGTGCAGTGTGTGCAGGGTGGTCTAGCACTAGTGCGGTGTGTGCAGGGTGGTCTAGCACCAGTGCGGTGTGTGCAGGGTGGTCTAGCACTAGTGCGGTGTGTGCAGGGTGGTCTAGCACTAGTGCGGTGTGTGCAGGGTGGTCTAGCACCAGTGCAGTGTGTGCAGGGTGGTCTAGCACCAGTGTGCTGTGTGCAGTGTAATGGTAGTGTGGTCTAGCACCAGTGCAGTGTGTGCAGGGTGGTCTAGCACCAGTGCAGTGTGTGCAGGGTGGTCTAGCACCAGTGCGGTGTGTGCAGGGTGGTCTAGCACTAGTGTGGTGTGTGCATGGTGGTCTAGCACCAGTGTAGTATAATACAGAACACCACACAGCACAGTCTCAGATAACACAGTAGAGTGCAGTGAGTGCAGTGTGCAGTGTCCCGTGGGGCAGCACAGCCCGTGCAGAGCAGTCTACCCCACCACAGAGTATATGCACGTGGTCCTCTCACACACCACAGTGCCACATGTGACTGCTCCCCACTGCCCCGGCTGCTGGTGTGGGCTGTACTCGTGTGTCCTGCACAACCCTTTTGCCTGCACTGCGGGACCCTGTGCTCTGCTTGCTGCAGGTTCTCCAGTTCCTCCCGGCACTTCTGAAGGAAAGTCAGAGGCTGCCCCACTTGGGGCACAACTTGATGAGACCTCAAAAGTTAGTCTACTGAGCCAACTCTGAAGGAAAGAGATACCCAGACACCCTGGGGCATAGGTAGGGGCCCAGCTCACCCACAAGACCGTGAAGTGGATGCCCCAGCCTCAACCCCTCTGGCCAGATTGAGTCACTGACTCAGACCTCCTGGTGCTCAGTCTAATTATGTCATCTTGATTCCAGAAAATTCCCTGGGCTGATGACAGCATAGAAAGAATGTCCAACAACTTATTCCTTTTTTTGATGATAACAAAGACTGAGCAAAAAGCTTCTAGAACATGGCACTGAATCAGACACAGAGACTTGCAGCTAGAAATGAACCCAGAAAACACTTTAAGGCCCTCACTTCATAAAAGAGGGGAGAGACTCAAAGTAGTTCATTCACCCCCATCACAGGCCATTGAATGTTCGGGAAAGGTCGAGTCCACGTGCCCTGGGTGCCTCCCCTGACCCCACATACCTGCTTGTCTGGGACCACAGCATACAAGTCACCTGGCATCACAGACTTGCCTGGTCCCATGGGACCACGGAGGGCACCCCGACCACTGCCCCCACCCCAGGCCAGACACAGAGGGGCAGGCGGAGGGCCGTGCCAAGAGGATCCACCAGCACAGAACTTCCTCCCACTCAGCGGCCGAGATTCATGTCTTCTTAGTAAGAAAATCAAACTCCATCACTTCGCAATCAAAATTAGCCGCAGCCCCAGAGGACGAATTACTCACCAGATTGCCATCTGGGAAACGTCCACCGCTCTATCTCTTCCTGGGTGAGGAGTCCCAGATGTCCAGATGTGGGGGCTGCTGGCTACCATGGCGACCAGACCAACACAGAGCAACCTCTCCAGACCATGCTCCAGGGAGGCAGCCAAACCCGAATTCTCTCTCCTGCCACCAGAGCCAGACTTCCCACGCAAGTGGAAGCAGGTCCCTAAGAGGGTCTCAAATGCCCCTGTCTGTGTCGCCCACCAAAGCCCAGCTAGGGGTCCAAGGGAACACCACACAGACTGGAAGCTTCTGGAAGATGGAGGGCAGGCTCTTCCACCCTAGACCTCTGTCCTGACGGAAGGTGAGGGGCTTAAGCACAACCCAGGAGCTGCTGCTCACAGGCACCGTCTTCCTTATGGGAAGTGTGTGATCCTCCATAAATTCAGAGTGATCGTTGGGCTGAGTGGAGGCCCTGGTGCAGAGCCCCTGACGGCTGGGCCCGGCTTGCTGCCTGGTCAGGCTCCTCAGCTTCAGGAGCTCCAGAAGTCTTCTTGTGAAGATAGAGTGGGAGGGAGAGAAGACCTTTCACTACAGCTGGGCTTATTTCTTGGCCCTAAGTAAAAATTTCAGAAAATATTTTTAACCTTATTTAAACAGAAAATGAACACTAAAAACACCTCTGTGCCCCCCGCCAATTCCTGCAAAGAAGGAGCTGCTTGGATAACACTGAGTCGTTATAAAATATTTATCTAAAACAGTTTACTTATAATTACATTAGACTGTGATATATTTCTGATCACAGGCTGCCCAGCGCAAACCGACCAGACGGTTCTCAGAAGCCAGCACTTCTCAGAGGTGGGCCTGGAAAGGACCTGCGTCAGCTGGTTCCTGTCTAGCAAGAGTCCACACAGTAACCAGCTGCCCTGCTCCCCGTCCCAGCAGCGAATCTCTGGACCTGTTTTCTGATCTGTGGTCCGAGAGGCTGAGCCATGGGAGAGGCTGAGCCACAGGCAAGGCCACCTCTTCCAACACTGGTAGCCATGAGTACCCAGTCCCTCAGCCCAGGTGCCAAGGTCGCTCCTGCAGACAAACTCGGGCGGGTCCCCACAGGCACATGCACTGTGGCCACTGCCTTTGGCTTGGCTGCCAGGAAGTGCTGGGGACGCTGCCCCTTCATCTTCTTTCTTATCCTGAGCAAACGCATCTCCAGAGCAAAGGGCCACCCGGCAAGGCTCAGGGAGCGCGTTCTGGGAGCTTGTCTTCTCCAGCAGCTCATGGGGGAGGCTAGCCAGCCTGTGACCCGGAGCCGGACACCGGACCGGACCCTGTGGAATCCGAGAGGCACTGGCAGCACCCACAGGTGGCCCTGGCCAAACTTCACGTGCAGGGCCTCAGGTTCTGTGGGGTCAGAATCTTGGGCAGGTGGGGGTCCTTCATTAGGAAGAAGAGCGCACAATCCCAAGTACGAAACGATCCTGAGACTTGACCAGGATGAAAAAAAACAAACCACACAAATTCAGTGAGCTCCAGGGACTCAGACCCTTTCTTCCAAAAGCCCTTCACCAGAAATGCTTACATACAGGGTCCTCCTCTCCACCCAAAGCCACCCCCATGTCCCATCCACCCAGGCGGGGCCGGGGGGGCGTCCCTGAGCACAGACCCTCCCTGGCTGCTGGGGGAGAGAGAAAGCTTCTCAGCTGGGCTGTCCCTCCCACCTCCCATGCCTGCTCTGGCCTTTGCGATCGGAGCTATTTCACTGTTTGAGTGACTTTTCCACCCACAGGAACCCAGGAACACAGCAAGGGTCAACACAGGGTCCCAAGCTCCACATGTGGCATCTACATCAGCCGGAAACATACACTGAATGGACACAGACGCATGCCAACGGGCTCTCAGGATGTGTGTCCCATACCTGTCACCTGAGTCCCGGCCCCACAGCGCTGCCAGGGGCATCCCCGAGTCCCGCCCTCTGCTCAGAGTCAGCCTTGGAGGACTCCAAGCCATAAACGGCCGTGGAAACATATACATACACCCTCATCCCAGCGGCCGTCTTCTAAGGGCTATTTCTGTGTGATCCAGCTTTAGGTTTTCAACTCTTGTCATATTTTCTAAACTTCGGTCTCTTGCATTTACTTTAGGTCTGCGGCACCGCCCTCTCCAGAGGGAAAGCTAAACAGTGCGGTCAGGACTTAGTGTTCCCACGCGGCCCGTGAAAACCCCTGTCCTCACTGTTAACTGTGCTGCTAACAGCTGTGCTGCCCCCACCCCACGAGATTTACATGCCACCCCACTGACCCATGGATGGGAGGGCTTATGAATCCATGTCCACGCACGTCAGGACCAGGTGTGTGGGAACTGGTCCATGCAGCAGGCAGCTCAGCTCCCAATCAGCAGAAAAAAACCATGTAGAGTGGGTTCATTGGAGGTCCATGCCATATCGCTGAACGAAAAGCTAGGAAACAAGACCTAATACAACATTGCTTTATTTACGTACATATCTATCTGCCTGTATTTGCATATTTTATATACACACAGGAAGATTCTAGAATAGTATTCCGTCAACAAGTCAGTAGACTGATTACTTCTGAACAGTGGGATCTTGTCTAACTCTGAATCCCTTATCTGACCTTCTCTCCAGATAAACACAAAAAATAGGCACAACATGCAAAATATAAGTTTTACAATGAACAGTGAATATTTTTCAAAAGGAGTAAGGCATTTAAAGATGAATGTGGCAGGGCTGGGGGCTCAGAGGGAAGCGTGTGGAGGAGCCCTTGGTGGCGGGGGAGAGGACAGACATCCAGGCCAGAGGGATGCACAAGAGCTGGGGACGGTGGGGGCAGCTTCAACCTCAAGCTACAAGCGCCCTCTTTTTGCCATTTTCTCTCTCAGCATTGCTCCAAACTCCCAGTCCCACAGGATTCAACGGACACGGAGGATGATTACTGCGGGAGGCACTGGGATCAACGTGGGGCCTGAGTTTAGAATCCAAAGACCTGAGTTCAGACCTGGTCTGGCTGCTGAGGGACGACAACGAGAGTCAAGGGCACTTTCCAAACCTCTGTCTGCTTGTCAGTCACATCTTTACCAGGAAACCTGCAACGCCACACATTTAACAATGTCATCTCCATCTCTAGGTTGTGCTAAATGGAAAACCAAATAATTTTACGACTGTATTTTGTATTTTCAGAGGCTCAGGAATAGCAGCCTTGGAAGTCATTCCCATCTCCCCTCTGGACCATGGGCAACCCTCACCCAGAACGGCACTGCCTGCACATCTGAGAGCCCTGCCCCCTGCCCTGTGGAGCCCCCACGCTGGTCCACTGAGGTTGGCAAAGATTTTTAGTCAGTAGAACTTACTAAGGGCTTTCTAGGTGGTGCTAGTGGTAAAAAAAATCTGCCTGCCAACACAGGAGACATAGGAGATATGGGTTGGGTCCCTGGGCCGGGAAGATCTCCTGGAGAAGGAAATGGCAACCCACTCCAGCATTCTTGCCTGGAGAATCCCATGGACAGAGGAGCCTGGCGGGCTACAGTCCAGGGGGTCACAAAGAGTCTGCACGACTGAAGCGACTGAGCACACAGCACCTACTAGAGGATCCTCACAGAAAATATAACATAGATGTATAACTGGTATATCTACGTCGTTATGTAATGACACATGAAGTGACAGTCAGCGCCTGTGTTTAGAGGATGTGGCCGGGATCCTGTGGGAATTCACTGCTGTCTTGTCTCCTTCTTTCCCAACAGAAGAAGTTTTGCAGCTGGGACGGCCATGACCTGTCAGGGAGAGAAGATGGAACTCCACTCAGTGGCCCTTCTAATAAAGCCATTATGTTCTTAAGAAAAGGGGCCTGGCTGGCAGATACCCCCTTCCCTGACCTGCTCTTTCTCCCTTCCTGGAGCACATAGAGTGTCTGGCCACAGAGCCAGCACCCTTGGAAGCCAGACAGAAGCTCATGCTGAAGGAGGAGCAGACACTCGGCATCCACACCAGCCCCAGACTGCCTCTCTCTGGACATCTTGAGAAAATGGGAAAACAGACGCTGTCCCAGAGTGATGGACAAACTGCTGTTATTTCTGTCAAACACAGCTCTGCTGCATGAGAAGACCTGCCTGTTCCGAGGCCTCCCCAGCCAGACCCTGAACCAGGGCACGCCTCCCCCCAGGGTCAGAGGGCATCCCATCCACCTAGCACTCTGCCCAAGTGCAGGGCGCCTGTTTCCTTGAGCTCCAGGTGCCCAGCCCGTCTCCTCTGGCCCCTCAAATCACTAGAGATGGCATGTCCCCTGTCAGAGCAGCCGCCTCCTCCCTGGTGGGAGCCTCGTAGAGCAGCTTGGTCCATGGTGACCGTCCAGGTGACCATCCATGGTGACCATCCATGTCACACGGAGGGCTGGGGGCTTCTGAGACCCTCGTTTCTGCTCTTCAGGGAGTCAACAGCCAACTCCTCGGTTCAGAAGGTACTTGTGGCAAAAATCACTGGCTGTCAAAAAAGATTAGGAAGTATCTTCCACAAATCACAAAGACCAGATGTGTAAACAGCGGGAGAGATTTTTTCCAAGGGGTTGATCACTAAAAAAGTAAATGATCCAGCCCCCTGTGGGCACGCCCACTGCCCCAGCTGCTACCTCTCCCCCAGGGCTGCTGTCCTCATGGTCACAGACACCTCAGTGTCTCTCCCCTGCTTCCTCCTTTCGTCTCGTGTTTCATGGTCCATGAGCTGGACTATGTCACAGGCCTGTTCTGTGTTTGAAGATCAGTTAGAACGAAAAGTTGTGCTGAGCATAAGATGCAGTCCCTCGGTTTTACTACCAAACCAGAAACAAACTCCCAGTGAGGTTGGTGATATTAGGATGGAGTGGTTGCAGTCCCCAGCACATCCCCCACCCTGGGACCAGTGGTGACCTGATCTCTGCTGGGGGAGCCACACACCCCCTGGGGCACACCAGCTCCTTTATTCAGGCTCAGCCTGGATGTAGCACAGTGCTTCTCTGTGAAACTGGTTGTGTGCGTTTAATTCACAATAGTTCCTTCAGCTCCTCTGTCTCTCCTCCACTGCCAGCTTCCTTCCCATCCAGAAGTCTATTTTATCTGATAGAAGGACAGTTGCCTTGCTTTCTTTTGGTTTCCACTTACATGGAATATCTCCTGCCATCCATCACTTCTAGCCAACATGTATCTTTAAGCTGAAACGCATCTCCTGTTGGCAGATACAGTCGGGTCTTCATTTTTCATCCCTCCAGCCACTCCATGCCTTTTGATTGGTGGGTTTGATCCATTTACATTTAGAGTGATTATTAATGTGTCAGGATTTTCACCTGCCTTTTTACTGTTTGCCTTCTGGTTGGTTGTATTTCTTTTTTTTTTTTTTTCTTTTCTTTTTCCCCTCTGATTCTGTCTACCTTTGTATTAGGTTGGTACACACATTATTAGGATTTTGGATCATGAATTTTATTAATAAGTTAGTTTCTTTTTTCACTGGTTGTCTTTAAGATTCTTTATCATTGATCTTTTGACTGTTTCATTAGAATGTGTCTTAGAGAAGGTCTTTCTGAATTGAGACAATAAGATCTTCTATTAGCTTAATGGATGTGTACATCTAATTTCTTCCCAGATTTGGGAAGTTCTCAGCTATTACTCCTTTAAATAAATGCTGTCTCCTCCCTTCTCTTCTTCTCTGGTGCACAATTTATTATTATATCTGTCTTTCTGAGCAAACCTGGTAGCTCGCATAAGGTTTTTCCACTCTCTTAAGTCTACATTCTCTATTCTAATGAATTATTTCCTCAATCCTATCCTCCAAGTCACTTATTCTTTCTTTTATCTGGTTTGCTTTATTACCAATACTCTCTATTGCTTCTTCATCTCATTCACTGAATTCTTCAGCTCCAGAATTTCTGGGTTTTACGGGGTTTTTTGTATAATTTCAGTGTCTGATAAAGAAATCCTCTGTTAATTTTATTCCTGAGTCCATCGAATTGCCTTCTGAGATTTCTTACGACTCATTGAATTTCTTTATAACAGCCATTTTTAATTCTTTATCAGCTATATTGCAATATTCTATTCTGTGTCCTTGAGTTCAGTTACTGAAGAATTATTTTCTTTTTCTGATTCCATCTTTTCTTGATTTTTCATAGCATCTGACAACCTATGCCTCTACTATCGCACCTGAGTGAGCAGACGTCTTCCTTAGTTGAGAATTTATTCTATTTCTAACAATTCAACAAAGGTCCGTCTAGTCAAAGTTATGGTTTGTCCAGTAGTCATGTATGGATGTGAGAGTTGGACTGTAAAGAAAGCTGAATGCCAAAGAATTGACATTTTTGCACTGTGGTATTGGAGAAGAATTTTGAGAGTCCCTTTGACTGCAAGGAGATCCAAACAGTCCCTCCTAAAGGAAATCAGTCCTGAATATTCTTTGGAAGGACTGATGCTGAAGCTGAAACTCCAATACTTTGGCCACCTGATGCGATGAACTGACTCATTTGAAAAGACCCTAATGCAGGGAAAGATTGAAGGCGGGAGGAGAAGGGGACGACAGAGGATGAGATGGTTGGATGGCATTACAGACTCGATGAGTTTGAGCAAGCTCTGGGAGTTGATGATCCTGTCCATCCCACGCCAGGATAGGGAAGCCTGGCATGCTGCAGTCCATGGGGTCTCAAAGAGTGGGACACGACTGAGCGACTGAACTGAACTATTCAACAGGCTGGCAATTAGAAACCTTTCTCTTGTGTCCCAGAAGGTGGCGCTACAGCCCAGTCTTGCGGCCTTTCCTGAAGGCGTTTGGGCGGATCCACTGAGGCTTGTGCACCTACACTGCCTGAGAGGGGCCTGGCCTTGGGGGTCCCCGTGTGGGCAATAGGGTGACCCTCCGGTAGGATGCTTCTCGAAGTCCCGGGGGAGAACTCCGGGGCAATAACGGGAGACACGATCCTTCAGAGAGTGTTCCCTCTGCCTCAACCACCCCCCACCCCCCCACACACACCCCGCCTTCCCTTTTCCCCTCCCCCTCCCCCGCCCCGTCTCCTCCACCCCAGGTCATCCGTTCCGCCTGAGGAGTCCAGGTGCCACTGGACCGAAACGGGTCCCTGCTGCCACAGTCCCACCGCTGGGTCAACTGGATGGTCATTCGGGATGTCCCACCTCGGCCAAAGCGGTCCCCGTGGGGAGGGGAGCTGACTGTGTGAGTCCCTCCCTCAAAACCCACTGCCATGGGCAAGCGGGACTGCCACCGACGCTCGGCCATCCCATCGGCAGACACCTGCCCAGTTTAAACCCGAGGCTGCCTTCCCATCACGGCACGTGGGGGTGGGGCAGGCTCTCCGACCCTCCGTGGACCTGCTGAGGCTGTCCGCTGACTGTCCGATGCACAGGTGGTTAAACCTCCCAGGTTAGGGTCAGTCACAGGTGTCCAGCTAGTGGTAAGTCAAAGGGGAGAGAAGAAAGGAGTGGCTCAAGCAGGCATGATGGTGACCCCACGCCCCCCTTTCGCATTCAGCCTACTTGTGGCCTTGGAGCCAAAGTGGGTCTCTGGCTTGGAGCATGTAGTTGGATCATGCTTCTGGTTTTCTGTTTTTTTAATCCCTTCTGCCAATCTCTGCCTTTTGGTTGGAGGGTTTAATCCAATAAATTTAAAGCAATTGCTCATAAGGAAAGACTTATTTCTGCCATTTTGGCATTTGTTTCTGTATATCTCATATAGTTTCTTACCCCTGTTTCCTTCCATTACTGCCTTATATGTTCAGTGATTCTTTGTAATAATGTTTTGATTCTTTTTTTAATTCTCTTTGTGTATATTTTATAGATATTTTCTTTGTGGTTTCCTTGGGGGTTACATATAATACCCTAAAATTATGATGATCAAATCTGAAATGATATCAACTTCAATCACATACAATAATTGCTGCTGCTGCTAAGTCGCTTCAGTCGTGTCCGACTTTGTGCGACCCCATAGACGGCAGCCCACCAGGCTCCACTGTCCCTGGGATTCTCCAGGCAAGAACACTGGAGTGTGTTGCTATTTCCTTCTCCAATGCATGAAAGTGAAAAGTGAAAGTGAAATCGCTCAGTCATGTCTGACTCTTCGGGACCCCGTGGACTGCAGCCTACCAGGCTCCTCCATCCATGGGATTTTCCAGGCAAGTGTACTGGAGTGGGTGCCATTGCCTTCTCCATACAATACCTACTCCTACACAATTCCACATTATCAGTACCACAAATTACATTTTTATACATCACATGCCAAGTTAGATTGGCACATGATGTACACAGATTTTTAATTATTTTTATGTATTTATCATTTAAATCCTGTAGAAAATAAAAAGTAGTTATAAACCAAAATTACAATAATACTGGTGTGCACATTTGCCATGTATATATCTGCACCAGAGATCTTTATATCTTCCTGTGACTACTATTTACACCAAACACACTTGCATTACACTGTCAGCAGTCCCTTCAGCATTGCTTACAGGGAAGGTCTAGTGGTAATGAGTCTCCTCAGAGTTTGTCTTAGTTTCTCCCTCATTTGGAAGGGCAGATGGAGAATTCTTGGTTAACAGTTCACTTTATCATCCTACTGCCTCCTGACCTCCAAAGTTTCTTCCGAGAAATGGGCTGACAATCTTTTGTAAGATACCTTGTATGTAAGGAGTCACTTTTTATATATTTTATTTCACTTTATCTTATTTATTTACTTTCGGCTGCACTGGGTCTTCCTTGCTGTGTGCAGGTTTTCTCTAGTTTTGGTGAGTTTTCTCTAGTTGTGGTACACGGGCTTGTCATTGCACTGAGATTTCTGCCATTTCTGAACTCTAGGCTCGATAGTTGTGACACATGGGTTTAGCTGCCCCTTGTCATATGCAATCTTTCCTGACCAGGGATGAAACCAGTACCCTTTGCACTGACAGGCAGAATCTTGGCCACTGGACCACCAAGGAAGATCTGAGTTACTTTTCTCTTGCTGCTTTCAAGATTCTCTTTTTGCCTTGCCTTTTGACAGTCTGATTATAATGTATCTCCATTTGGGTCTCTTTGAATTTATCTTACCTGGAATTATTGAACTCTTATTTGTAGATTCACATCTTTCATTAAATTTGGGGGTTTTGGCCATTATTCTTCACATAATCTCTCTCTCATTCTCTTGTTTGAAGACTCCTGTAATGCAAACATGTATCTGTTTGATAGTTTCCCATAAATCCCTTCAACTCTTCACTTGAAACCTGCCCCAGCTGCAGGCAGGAGCAGGTGAGAGAGGGAGGAGCTCCACAGGACTCCCCGACCACTCTGAACACCGCGTGTTCTTGACTGGACGTTGGCTTGGGGTCTGTAAACTACCTGTTTTCCAGAGCCCCAGTCGAGGTGGTTGAGATAGTTTGTTTCCTTCAATGCTTCTGTCAGGGAGCAAGAATTATGAGCTTCTCAGACCACCATTCAGCTCATATTAACCCCTCTCCCAGTTTTTATTCTTATTTTACCACTTTCATCACATTTCTTGAACTTCTAGTATAGTGACATTTTGAAACGAAGTATACAGATTTACCAGTTTATTTGCAAGACTTTGGCTTGCTGGACCTCATCACACTACCTTTCAGGTAATCATGTCCAGCATGACCTTTGTCTCCACCAGCTTCCTGTCATCCACAATTCTCTATTCAGAGTTTTAGAAAAATAACATGCTTAGTCTCCATGTTCTCCTAGTCTTCTGCCCTGTCCTGTTAATGTTCTCACCAGCATCTATCCCATAATCAGAACCCTGCATTAGAGCTATTTTGGTTTTTAATGAATCCTAAACTAAGGCTCCCAAGCCATGAAATCTCCCCAGGGAAAACAGTCAACAGTATCAACAGCCTTGTAGATGCCAAAAGCACTAAGAGTCAAAAGGTGATAATTACAGATAGCCTCATGCGTGTATGCTTAGTCTCTAAGTCATGTCCGACTCTTTATGACCCCATGGACTGTAGTCCCCCAGGCTCCTCTGTCCATGGGATTTCCCAGGCAAGAATACTGGAGTGGGTAGTCATTTCCTCCTCCAGGATAGAGAGACTCATCCATTCCTAAAATTCCATCATAAGAAATAATTTTGGTCCCCATTTAAAATTAAGTAGAATTTTATTTGCAGCAGTGAAAACCAGGAGGTAGTTTATCACAAAAACAAAGGCTTTGAAATCAAACAGACCAGTATTCAAATATAGATATTGGCACTTACTGATAGCAAATTACTTACTTTCTATAAAACTGTTTCTCGTCTGAAAAATAAAATAGAAAAAACAACTATCTGGCAGGGATAACATGAAAATTAAATAAAATAGCAGATTCAAAGTTGTAATACTGAATTTCATGTTCCCTTCACTAGGAAAAAAAATGAAAATTTCTCCAAAGCTATGAATTCTAACAAACTTTATTAAAGAGATACTACATGGACGCCAGTCTTGGTTTATATACTTTCTCATTTGCACATGCTGTAACAGTGTATAAATGTGATGCAGTGTATCGGGAGGTTCCAGGGTGAAAGTCTAGGGTATTTCTGGAAGACAGATGGAGTGAGTGGCCCACCAGTGGGATATTTGCACGAGCAGTCAAGATTCCTAGGAAATGTTTCTTATAAGAGAGGAAAGAGTCGAGCTCACAGATATGGCCCCAAGCTGGTGAGTACAAGTCAAGGTGAGGTTTTCCTGAGTGTTGCTGGCACAATGATGCTAATATCACTGTGTAACTCAGCACACCCTCCACCTGCTCCCAGCTCAGGCCTGACTCCCAGGGGCAGAGGAAGAAAACACAGACAAGGAGAAATGAGAGCTGTTTCCTCGATCTCCTCAGGACATGGGGACACTCGTCCACTCTGGTTTACAAATGAATGGAACAGGAGTCCAGGAGAGAACCCCTCCCAACCTTGGCATAGCCTCAGACTTCAGACTGACATGCAGAAGCCAGACCAGGCAAGAGGGGACTTGCCCCAACTCTGCTCGTTGTAAATACACACAGCAAACCGAAGGAGGTTGCAGTGCCTGGGGGGCACAGCCTTCACAGGAGGTCCAGCCCAGTGCTTCCCCCAGGGACAGGGCACCTCCAGGCCCAGCCGCCACCTCCCCACCTCCAGCCCACCATCCTCAGCAAGGGCAGCCATGTCCAGACATGGTGCCGGTCTGTGAGTTGAACCACTGCCCTCAGCTGGGACCAACGCTGCCCCTGCACACGGGGGGACATTTGGGTGTGAGAATGGATATACGAGTTACAACACCTGCGTGGAAAGTTAACCTACCTCTTCAATCACCCCTCACCATAAGCACAGCAGAACTTGCACAACGGAGCAAGACCCAGGGTGCCGAGAGCACTTCTCTTACTTTCTTGTGGTTCTGTCCACGGGTTCTGAGGGGTCCGCTCAGCAGCACAGGACTCACTGCTCTGCCCAGAACCACAGGCACCTGATTAACAGCACACCATCTCAAACTGGTTATGTAACTCACGAACCTCTGTGTGTCGGTCTGGACACAACACGCACAGAGCATGACACAAGTTCTTCACGTCAGCAATGAGATGGACATTTAAGGCTAGAAATGCAGATTGTTTTATATTGATAAAATACAAATACTAAAAGTTACATAAGATACCATTTGACTTTTTAAAATTTTAAATTTTCAGCCTTATTTCAAAAATTTTGATTTAAAATTAATATTCATTTGTGTAAATTTGCATTTGAATGCTAATATTGTAAAATAAAAATAATTTTGGAAAAATACTACTTTTGTAATTTTTACTTGTTTCAATTTATAGTTCTGTAAGATACTTCCATCTTAACCGTTTAGAGCACTACTGTCAACTGAACACAAAATATGTAAAAATCATTATTATATCTATATAATTTGTGATTTAGCTGAAATAAAGCAAGAGTAAATAAATTTTATATGATCAATATACATTAATTATTTAACTATGTGTATTTTTTATTCAAATGTCCATAGAACACCCATATATGTGGAATAATAATTAAAATCAGCTTTGATATTTTGCTTTTACTCATAAAAAACTTGTAGCTTTACATATATTTTTATTTTATCATTATGAAGACATTTATCAGGATAAAACAACAGAACATGTACCCTTGGTACCTGTCTACTGGTCTGAGTTATAAGCTTAATATTACTTGTGACACGTGGGGCCGATTGGATGGAGGGGCCCAGAGACACAACAGGCCCAAACCCCAGGGTCCCCACAGCCCCAGCAGCCTTTGGAGGAACCCCTAAACCT